GAGTACACAATCATACTATTTTCGGGAAGAGGAAATCGGCCAATCAGTACACAATGGGGAAAATCAGGCGGTGGTGGTGGGATTCGAAAACACGTACTTCGGGGTGATGATTTGGTGACTTTACCAATGAGCCTAAATAGAATCTATCTAGCCCTGCCTTTGTGCACAGGAAAATCATCTGTAACATTTAGATCCTGCAATGAATTTGGGAGGACAAGTTAGAAGACAAACACTACCAAAGAAATTCCTCTTATGTACCCCCATCAGTCGAGTACAACACTAAGGATTATAGACAAATGAAGTGAATTAAGAAACCAAGTCGTGTATGTGGTGTTGTGCTGTTTAACGCATTTGTTCGATAACATTTGTGTTCATTGCCCCCTTGAACGCGCAACATCAATACTCGATACACACNAGACATACACGCACGCGACATGGACGTTCTTCACATGCAACCTTGATTACATTGACCAATCAGACTGCACCACGTGTATGCTTGGTATTGATTGGATGACTGCAGATTACTTGTACGGCCAGTACCGGCTGAGGACATGCTTCTGCTAATTTTCATGAATCACGTTGCTACCGTTCTCTGCTAATAAAAAAGGATTTACTTACGTGTATATTACGAGTTCTACTGAATACAACACGTGGGTCTGATACACATGATTGATTAGAGCCAACGTAGGCCAAGTGTAAAGATCATACGCTGTGGGACACAATGTGGGTATGTTGTTAGCAAACAATAAATCTCTCGGGTATCCTTAGTTGGTGTTTGTCGCGATGACGCAAGAAAACCGAGAACGAGTTCGCGGTGTCTGTCTTGTGGCTCCTTTCAACCAGGTGACAGTATCCAGTGCACAAAAAGCTAATCCACTTGTCGTATTGAAAAAGAAATGAATGAATTGTATTCTGGTTCGCTGAATATTGTCAGGTTGGCCAAAACAGACAGTTGATTTTCTTATGGATTTACTGTCAGAGCCTTCGTTCTGTCAAGGTCCTCAAAGCGCTCAGTGAAAATTGAAGCTAATGAGGTACTGCCTAACATAGACGCGATTTACTTGTTCAATTCAGAAAATCTTTACGACGGTGAACTCACTCACTCAATTGGTTATTTTCATTCATTGCTAAGTTACGTTGTTTGAGAGATTTACCTGTTCTATTTTGACTCGTGAAAAGTTCAGTAGTCTCGGTGGGATTCGAACCCGCGTATGGACGCCGCTTACCTTTTATTGTTTTTGTTATTTGAATTTCAATTTTCAACACCAGAAACCCCTACCATCCTATTCACTCCTCACTCTCTGTTACACTTCTTTTGATGAACATACTAACTTGCAAATAACTACTGATGCTATCCATGCTGCGGTAAGAGCTGCATGCCCGGAACGAATCGCCCTGAAACAATCGATGAGAATTATGTAGGAATGTCGGTTTTCAATAGATTTTTAATTTCAGATCGCTTATCAGGGAGATTGGTGAGGTAAAGCAGTTCGATCCCGCCCTCGTGTAACGCTTGGTAACCACACCAGTTATGTTTTGTTGTGAGTGCTTGTATCTCACTGAACCTTTTTGGTTCATGGCCTTTTTCATACTTTGCCTTGCATGTTTATCCTTAGTCCCGACCCACGGAGGACCTGTCTGAAAGGGTTTCCACGCCATACTGTGTCCCGGTCGTATCGTCGCCTTACTGTCGTTCCCCCACCGTCCTCCGTTGACCGAAAAGTCTCGTATCCACTCGAACTGTAAAAATACGAGTCAAGGGACATCCCATCGCACATTTCTGTTCACTCTGCTGCACTGCAAGAGCCCAGAGTAGGTTCGCATCACACTCAATGAACAGTTCTGTTCCACTAGTTTCGTTTTCGATATGCAGTCGGTTTGACACAATATTTTAAAATAAATTTCTCACAGATAGAACTTTGTATTTTGGATCGAATAAAGGTTTCGTTCGTCGGTTGTCCGGTTTCTCTGAATTTGAGAATGAGCGTTTTTGTATATCTGTCTGTTCGTTAACATGTTCTTGACTAATGTCACGTGAATGATCGGATCAGTCCGTTAATTATCGATCCATATATCTTCAGGTCAATCTCGTTTTCAAATGCTTGGTCAGTCATCCGCTTCTTCTGTGCACAAATAACATGCCATCGCCGAAATCTAAGGGTTCACCCAAGAGTAAAGGATCACCAAAAAGTAAAGGATCCCCTAAAGGTGGTAAAGACAAAGTTGAAGAAGAAGAAAAACCATTTCAGTTAGCCAAACGAGAACCTCCACCACCACCACCAGAGCCTCCCAGAGGCCCATTATTATCTCGTCTATGTCGCCAAGTATGGTATCCCTATGCCAATAGAATGACGTTTCAGCGCAGAGAATGGTTTTGGTCCCCGTTCTGCCCCGTTATCACCAGCTGGGGTGACATATGGGTCACCGATCCACCGCAGCGTCGTATTTTACGCTATTATTTCGAGCCTGTCAGCGCGAAACTCGCACTTCGTTCACCCACTCTGATCACACGTGGTGAACCGAAAATGATGATCGAGATTCCTCGCACTGGACACATAGCTGTGCTTCTGACTTGTCCGACTGCAAAAAAGACCACACTTGCCCTGTATGATCCAACAGAACTTAAAGAAAACATAAAAATAGATTTTCTCTACGAAGCTATGGGTCCACCAGTACCGGAACTGCCCGCTGGCGAATGCACTCCACCACCAATGCTATCAAAACTGGAAGATGATTTAACCCCGATTGGGTTATGTGCAAATCAGGATATACTGTTCGTCTTATTTGAACCCATACAACATATACGACTCTACGACCCGATCACACTGAAGCCGTATGAAACGAAATTGGAAAATGCGTACCCGGATGAAAGCACATGTGTTCATTTAGCCTCATCGGGTGGTTGTGCAGCTACAGAAGACAAACTGTTTGTAGCTGCCACCAGACCCCCTCGTATTCAAGTATTTTGGATCTGTCGACAAACCTTATTCAATCGTATCGATCGGATCAATTTGGTCTGGTATGCTGAGCTGGGTTTGGATCGACTGACAATGGGAGAACCGTTCGGGGTGCAACTCGACTCCCTCGGTTTGCTAGTGGTCTCCGACAGTCGAGCCGGATTTATGCGTGTGTACAGTACGAATGACAAGCATCCACCGGGACCGTGGCAACCATCTCTCCCGAACGGTGAGACATGCTATTTGGGCTCGTGGAAAGTTGATCCCTATCAGGATATTCGACCAGGCTATTTCAGTTTAGCCAAGAATGGTACCGCGTGTGTGGTGGATCGGTGGGCCAATAAATTGTATTTCATTGCAGATCGTACGGAACTACGTTGGTATGACGAAACTCTATTGGCATTGGATGATGCGTTGTTTATACGACCGATAATTGATCCACTCATGCCCATAAACGGACTTCCGCAACCGACCACTATTCCGTCATTCAGAGCGGGCGATTTCAGGCGCACTGCTAGCGAGATATCTCTGCCTCCACCGGATGACGAGCTAATGCCCGAGTCCGTTGTACAACGCTTTCAGAAAAACGAAGAGCTTCCCGAAGAGGAACCCTCGCCGAAAAGTTCGCCGAAAAAAGGGAAAAAATCACCTGGAAAATCACCAAAAGAGAAAAGTTCAGGCAAACCGAAATCGAGTTCGGGAAGGAGTAAAAGAGGAGAATAATTTTTATCTTCATTTGGGTGCATTCCGTCACTGACATATTACACGTGGAGTTTGTATTTTACCTTTTTGTCTGTCTACGTTTCATTGCTTCCTCGGGGGTTATATCGTGCTCTCGGTTACCTCTTGTCCATCACGTATCAAACTTTATATAGACAAGTGCACCATTTATTACACCTGCCGGTTTTATTTTGACTTTATCTTCTAAGATAATGACCTCATTTATGTCGTGTATGTTTTGATTTAAGAATGGCTTATTTTTAAAGGCAACTTTGTGTTCTTCATTATCTCCTTTTTACTGTGATAGTTCGATAGCTCTGCACTGGATGACTAGATGATGGAGATCTGCACTTTTGCGAACATGTCGAAACGCGCTTTCGCTATCACAAATTCCAATGTGACTAAAGTTACTTCACCGCCCGGTAACAACATTCTGCTTTTACCTAATGCGTTTAGTATCTTGAGCAGTTTGCTATTCTGTGATTAACGTGCTCTGTAATTGCCGTAATTCCTTTATCGGTTCTGGATTCCAGAATTCAGATCACAAAACTTTGATTTTCTTCCCAGACCACCTCACATTTGTTCACGCTGTTTCCGGACTTACTTCCACTCCAGGTTATGTTTTCTTAGAGCGGCTCCGTGATGCATTATAAATGCTTTATGGTGATTACAGATACAGCCAGAATGACAAATAACTGACCGCTGACGTGGGATTGATTAACGGATCGACGGGGAATAGTGCCGAACCAAATATCGGTTTTTGTCACGCCTCGACAGATTATCACAATGCAAACCTCTGTTAAACAATTAGTCGATCAGTAGATAAGCACGGGCATGGACATGATTAGCCACCGGTCAAAAGTAACGACAACGAAAACAATTCATACATTGCAAGATGCAAGTATTTCATTTGCAATGGGTGATCACTAATTTTTCAACGTCGAGATCACAACCAAGCGTAGCCATGATATTCTGTATGCCTGGGTGCGTGTTTGT